TTTATTTCTGTGGCAGTTGATTTTTCTTTGCATTGCTTTAATGGCAACATTCTTCTTACCTGGCTAAGCATTGGACTTTGATAGAAAATTACTTTTGTTATATTCAAATTTGTTCGTTGTAGGTTTTTGTTGTTATTGCTACAAGTAATTGTGAAGTTTGTATTTTGTGGCTATTGTTGATAATATATGATTGTGCTTGCAAGTATTTATATCCGGGTAAATGCATATTTGATGTTAAATGGGAATTTTTTTTTTTTTTTCATTTTATTAATATTCTTCCTTTTCACTTGGCATTTTTCATTATCTCTTTTTCCCTCCTTATGCTTTCTCTTGCTGGTCATGGTTTCCCTTTAGGTGTAGTAACTATGGCTCCCTCTAGCTCCTCTTTTTTCTCAGTAAATTTTTGTTGTTGTTAATTGGACATTTCGTGGATAACATGTTTATAAATTCAAGATAGAGAAGTATGACTTTTTCTATGATTGTTTTTTAGCTTTTTATTTTTATGGATGTGTTTCTACATGAATATCTTTACAATCATACTTATTTTTGTTAATTTCTATGGTTGCAATATTATCTTACAAACAAAAGACACATACATACTTGCTACAAACAAACCATTTATTGAGGAGAATATTTCAGTAATATAAGGGCATCAATTAATCAAGCCTTCTTTATAAGATTTCAAGATTTTTGGATTAATGCTCACTGGGAAATGGATAGGGAGATCAAGGGGCTGGAAAAAAGCCTGTTTTGCAGGCATTTCAAGTTATGTAATCTTTCATATATACTTTAGTTCCATTTAATATCATTTGGATGTTATAATGCTTTTGATCATATGGGAATATTAGTTTACTTACAATTGAGATGAATAATTTACTAGCAAAATCCCCCTCCTAAAATCAAGCTTATCCTTCTAAGTTATTTTTTTCATTCTCTTTGGTTAAAGTTGTCTGATTAATTTCCCATTGATTGTTTTTTTTGTTAAAGTTGCAAGAAATGTTATTTTATTTTGTGTTTATATTTGTTTGGACACTGAAAACAATGAAATTTGTTATTAGTGAATGTATGATAGAATCTCTATGGCAGGAGTTTCAATCTATATAGCACTTTATTTGATTTGGTCGATAAGATTTGTAATTATTTATGACATCTTTTTCTTAGGACTTCAAAGTATCCAGTTAACTCTCTTGGTAAAACTAAAAATTTTTATATTTTTGAATTTTTTTTGATATATAATTGATACTACTTGAGGAAATTAATTATGTACAATGGTTCTTGGTGTTTGAGAATTAAATTTTACCCTTTGATTTTTCCCCATTTTTTAGCCCTTTTTTGGTTTTATGATAGAACTCTAAAATGGATGTGGCACAAAATAGCATTGATATGGAGGAAGGACTTTGGAGATGTGCATGGGTAAATAATTAGTAACGTTCCATGTTCCTGCAAGATCCTAATATGTGACTCTTTTTTTCCTTGAAATGTTAAAGTAAGTTTTGGTTATCAATCAAAAGCTTAGTTCTTAGTTATGACTCTTTTTTACGAGTTTGTAGTTGATATGTTGTATGCAGTGTGAAAATGTGTTGAACTTAATGGGAAGTATTGATTGAAGACATGAGAATTTTCTAAAAGAACTTCATTATGTTGTACATTTTGTTGGAAACTTAGTTGAACTTCATGATTTCTAGATAAATTTTCTAGCATAGGATTGTTTGTGTGAGTGAGAGTTTTAAACTTTGATCTTGAATTTAAAATCAAAAGATTACCAATGTAAGATATACTTTATTTCTGAATGATTCAACGAGTAAATAAAATGAGAATATGAAATTTCTATGTTATTTATTTGTTATTATCTTTTGTTTTACCGTTATGTTTTACTATTGTTTTTTATTACATTGAAAATTTTAAATGGTTTTGCATTATTGGAGTTTCTCCATATTTTTATTATCCTTTACAACTCAATTATCTGTTGGTTATATTGATTAAAAATAATTATTAATTAATTTCAATCGATAAAAGATTCTCAACAACCACAAAAGTGGAAGAGGAATACTCGGCAACATAACATGCACATGAGAAATTGATTCAAGGCATGTTGTGTCTGGAAGGAAGAAAGAGGAGAAAAAAACTAGAAAAACTTTAGAAAGGCAGCATTATTCACAAGTTATATAAATAATTACTCTTTTTAAATAGTGCTTATTAATTAAAAAGAAACTCAAAATACTTACTTCACAAAAATTTCAAGGCAATAATTACGAAACTTTAAAAAAAAAAAATTATCACTTCTCAAAAAAACTAACCAAATATCTTCACCTCCTAAAACAGATAACAAAACTAAAAATAAGTTCATCAAAAGAAAAATTTATACAGTAATATATAAACTAAAATAAATAAAACAATAGATTTTTGCCTAACTCTTTTGATAGCCTAAATTTACTGTGATTAGAGAACATTTTCATTTTCGTTAAAGAATTGATTCTATAACTTATTATAATTCTCCTATAAAATGGTACATAACTTAGTGATTTTTAAGTAGAAAATAAAAATTTAATCTCCATTAACTTACCTTTGTAGACCCCCCTAACAACACCAATAACCGTAAATTAGCAATAAATAAAAAAAAAAATAAAAAGTAAGATTTGATTTTTCCAATTAAATTATTATTTTGGACAGTTAGAGTTTGGCTAAATATGACTTGGCTCATAAATTTAAGGGTTTAAACCAAACTTGGATTAAAAATTTCAATTCCGAATGGGAAGAGATTTTCTTGACTTATTAGGGTAAGTCTAAAGATTTTACTTGTACCTTATTTATTTTAGAGGTTTTTATAACCAATATTTTAAGGGTATAGATTAAAAAAATAATTAATATATTTTTTGATCATTAAATTATATAAAAAATAAAATTT